CTTGCATCTCAATGTAATCGCCAAGCATGGATACCGCCCGGAGCTTGAGGCAGCTCTGGAGCCTTTCATTTATGAAATTGTCTGTGCGTGTCGCTTCTCCCAGATTCATTTGCGCGGCTGTTGATGAGCATCTGAATTTAGCTGATCGCAAGGGCTCCGTGTCCGCAGAGCATGGGATTGGATCGATGAAGAGGGATGCGCTGCATTACTCTAAGAGCGATGTCAGCATTGACTGGATGAGGAAGATCAAGCAGGTCTTTGATCCTTTGAATATCATGAACCCCGGCAAAGTTCTTCCATAGGGCTTTGTTGATATCACGGCGATGCGTTGCGTTGATGTGACTTCAAACTTCATCGCTGAACGCATCAAACAATCACCTGTCACGGGCTTCCCGACGAACAGTGATCAGTAGTACAAGCAGACCTCCTTATGCATTTAAAGTCACAATGGATCTTCAGCAAGTGCTCCTTTCCGGATTCTAATTCTTAATCACGACATTCAATTGACCGTGAGTACAGTGGCATCGGAAAGTCCCTAATTAGTCAGATCCTCGGAGGTGGTGTGACGTGGGGAACTTGAGCTGATAAAGGCAAGTACTCTGATAGGCTATTAATGTTGTTGGCGGCCGTAAAACATATCTCACGTCAGCCTGACAAGCCGCTGCCAAACCTAAATGTATCACGGGAAGCGATAAGGTTCAGTAGGAATCGTGTTGGAATCATTCTTTCTTCCGAATTGACCCTTGGCGGTTATCATGGGCATTATGTGTAGGGTAATACCACCAGGGTTCGAACGTCCTGCTCTCCACATCTGCTAACAGGTGATGCTCTCCGTTGAAAACATTTCATTGCGTACGGGCGAACGTTGTGAGCAGTACATGAATGTGGGTCTACATTTTTCATGGAGCTGTCAATCAGGCCCTGAGTATTGTCAAGATAATGATATCCTCGAACATTGCCAGGGGACTTAGCACTAAACACTAAATTAAAATTATGGGGTATCAGATGATTCAGATCTTCAGAACACTAATCTATCGTCATGGTCTCGCTTCCTCAGAGGTGACTACCGTCTAAAATAAGCCAGAATCAAAATCTGTTTATCTTGGACTGCGCGGGTTCAAAACCTGCCGGTGATAGGTTTTTTTTCCTATCGGAACACACACCTGACATTGACTCAGATTATGATGGTTTCCTCGGAACTCCATCTAACTGGTCTTAGCCAAGTCAACAGAGTCAAAATCTGTTTCTCTTGGAATTGGTTCGAAACCTGTTGACAACATTTTTGTGGTGTATGGATCCTCACATCTCAACTTGGTAGGCCCCCGGGCCAGTTATTGCGCCGAAACCTTCTTTTATGTGAACCATAATCTGTCCATGAAACGGAATTCACTTTCACGCCTCGCGAGGGTAGTCTCGGAAACATGAGATATCCCCCCGAGATGTGTATGTGCCAACCTAGATTCTCGACGGACTGACCATTTTAAACTGTCGGGATTCACCACCAAAGGTCCAAACGAACAATGTCAATTTAATGGTGCCGGAGGGATGGCTTGAAAGCTCAAGGTGGATGAATCGAAAGCGGTAGACCGAGCCTATATATCGTTCTGATGTGTGTAGTTCAATTGCGTGCGCTCCTGTTTTATGTCGATGCCTAGGCGGAACGAAAAATCAATTACTTTCGATTACTGGCAGCGACAAGACCGGGCACCGGACAGAGATGTCAACAGCAGTCAATACGAAACTCTAGAATACCCCATGACAGGAAGCTCGAGACACCATGCAGGAGTGGCCCACCGAGGCATGCCACGTAACGGAAAAAAGGGGCTCGGCAAGAACTGAATGACAGACATAAGGACAACTTGAGTAGTCCCGCAAGACAGCTGCTTCGCTGAATCCAAGGTTTTCTGTCGTCTTTAGATTAAACCTGGCTGACTCGAAAGAGCTTGTGATCACTCCCAATAAGGAGGGCGAAGGAAGAGTGCCAATGTGCGATCACACTCGCTTCCCATCTGGTAGGTGCATGCTGCTTCTCCGGTGTAAGAAATTTCAGCCATCGTGAATATGGAATGTATAATTCAAGAAGCTATCTAAGAAGTAAGCTGTCCTCGGATTCGGAGGCTCGGAGGGTCCGTAAATTGATGCCACTGGCGATCAAGTCATTTATGTATCTTCTCCTCGTTATTTTCTGGGTACAACTGCAACGCAATCAGCGTCGTCCAAAAAGCCATCGGAATTTAAATAACACACCTTTCCAGGATTGAACAAGTTCAGAGGATCAATAGCGTTTTTGACGGTTTTCATCAGTTCCACGGTATCCTCGCCCAGTTCTTCCACAAGGTACTCTGTTTTGCCTACCCCTACACCGTGTTCGCCCGTACCTAAAGAGAAAAGTCTTAAAAACAACACGCCTGAGGCACATGGAACACTTACATGTCCCATCCATGTGGATGGCGCGATGGACCAATCTGTGAACCGCTGCACCGACGCTCCGCAGCTCTTCATCGTCTTTGAATAGAATGAGTGCGTGGAAGTTACCTGCATAACTCATTGATACACAACGAAACAATACATTTTGATGCCCTTACCGTCGCCAACATGCCCAACAATAGTCGATTTCAAACCAGCCTTGGCAAGATCCTCTTTGGTTTCATAGACTAACTGCGGAAGTCGAGAAACCGGTACGCTGTAAAGTCACCCACGTCATACTTATAATTGAAAATCGAGAACGAGAAGGCTAACCAAACATCGGTTGTCCAAACCTTTGAACCAGGGTGCGTCGCTAACGTCGAGAAAAAAGCCTAGGATTAAACAATTTTGTCACAATATCACGCCAAAGCAATCGTGGTTGACGCACATATTTTCGATTTTCCCACATCTCACCTGCCTCCTCCTCTGTTGCCGCGAATTCAAATCGGGTGCTGCCGTGACGTTGTACAATCTCTTGCACGACATTGGAGGTGTCACGGATAGATTCAGGGGATCCTTGGATCTTGAAGAAGAGAGTATCCTGTACCGGATAAGGAGCATCAACCATTCCAGCAGTGTTAATGGCCGCCATCGCTGAAAGTACTTGAGTAACGCCGAAGAAATGGAACTGGTCTACTCACTGTGATCGTCCAACAGCTCCACACATTCTGGAAGTAAAATTTTCAGCAAATGAAACGAGATTTAACTTGCCACCGACGTATGTTGGGACCGTATGGAGTATTAAGGATCTGCTGAACAGCGCTGACCGCTTTTTCGACGTCAGGGAACTGCGCCATGGCAACCTTGGTAGGTACTCTAGGAGCCAATCGTAATGTAGCTGAAATAGCGTTGGAATTAGAATGTCATCCGGAATACTGAATGCTAGATTTACCCTCTGTGACTATTCCAAGCGTTCCTTCAGCACCGATGAAAAGTTTAGTGATATCGAAGCCAGCGGAAGACTTGCGCGCCCGCCGGCGGGTCTTGATCACTTTGCCAGATGGAAGGACAACCGTCTAGTACCGACTTGGGTGATCCCAAACACTCTTCAGAAGACTTGGATTGGACCCACAATATTAAGAAACCATTCTGCTTTAGCAGTTCCATATCTGACTGCATTGGCTGTATTGGGATTAATATATGTGCAGCTATAACAACAGAAGAAGAAGGGACCAACTTCCTGAACACCCTGTACCAATCATGCCGCCGATAGTCTGCAGCCAGTCATTATTCGAATGTGAAAAAAATTGGGATGCAGAATGACTTACAGCTCCAGGACCTGGGTCAAGCTGTTCAAATTCAAGGTGAATTCATGGGCCATGGTGAAGCGTACGCACGGGGAAGAATAGAGGAATACCCCTATCTTTTAGTGTATTATTTATGTCTTCCCATTTTGCTCCAGGTTGACACCGCAGATCACCATCAGCCTCTACAGACAGTCCCGTGAGTACCGGTATTGGGACGAGGTAGAAACAACGTGTCATACCATTGATTTCCAAAATGCTATTCATCGCAGACAGATCAAGGCATATGCTACCTGAAGGAAACTAATCGTTATGAACATCAGCATCACTAAAGTAATGAAATATGACTGCTCGAAGCTCACACCAGAGAAATGACCCTCTATACTCGTGGCGCCGCCTAACGCAATGATGGGAACCCTATACTTGCGAGAGATATTGACGACTTTCACCACGTCATCTGTATTGTGTGCTACGACTACAACCGAGTGGGGACAGCTCGGGTGATAGGAATGGTCGGAGGAGCCATGCACTCGGAGGGAATCTGGGCTGGTCTGAACGCAATTCTTGCCAGGGAGGGCATCGCGTAGTTCCTCAATTGCTTTTCGAACGTCTTCAGGAGACCCGTAGGTAGGTGTTGAGGATGAGGAGCTCCCGGACACGTCGGTTGTGCGTCCTGTGCCGCTTGCACTGGATAGCTCGTCTGGGCCACTTCTCTGGAGGTGCGCAGACGAGAGCTCTCCGAGCTCACTAGATGCAGCATGGGTTGTAGTAGCACCAGCCTTCAGTCTCGCTGGTATCAACCTATGTTCGCGGTACTGGAAGACATAATAACTTGTCCCCATCGCCAGCAAGGAACCCAGCACAAATTTCCCAATACGAACCTCATCCTGCGTGGTACGCCCGGAAGTCGATGAGTAATGGTAACTTGCCTTGCAGCTGCGGATGATTGCGTTGCAGCTTGGACGTAATGAAAGATGGCAACCCCTTGCAGCGAGCACTCTCGTAGAAAGAGGGAACATGGAGTGCCGGGTGAAAGGTGGACTACCGCGTAGCTAGACAAACGTAACGCGTTTTATATAAAACAACCCATCAGATCGAATGCATTGCATGGGGTCCAAGGAACTATTAGTATCATGACGTAACACTGGAAGCTTTGCCCGGCGCCCGGCGCCAAACTAGTATAACATGGCGCGGTTGATTCAATCAGGATAACCAGTAGTTACGTGTTGAATAACATCACGATGGGAACTTCAGAAGTAAAGTGCTTTGCAGTACGAACATCCGTGATAATCATTTTCTGAGTAGTACGTACACAGGATCGCCGAGAACGACATTGGTCAAATGACGATATGAGCCTGTAATTGATAGCAAAAGTCCACCGAATGACGCGTAGGCCTGTGCTACGGAGTAAGTAATATGAGCAAGAGGCAGTTGACAACAAACATGCAAGTAACTTACACAATATCGGAAGATCCAGTATCAAACTTATACACCTGCGACCAACTGAGTAAAGTCAAACTTGAGGATGATAGAAAGACAGAGTCACACCTTCTCATACATAACATAGTCATAATCTTCTTCCAAACCTCTCCTTCCTTTACCATCTGGTCTCCATACGTCTCTATCTTTATCTTCGCCGTCTGCGGTGGGTGCACCACCATCTCGTGATAGCGACGAAGCAAGGGCCATCGCAAAACTGTCACCATTCACTAAAGGAAAGAGCTCGATGTTATAGTCAAGTGTCAAGTCCATGCCATAGTTTTTTGAATGAGCGTATAACCGAGATACTGGTTGTACAATGTACACAGCACATGTCAGTCACAAGTAAAAAGTGTTGCGCATGAATAAACGCGTACCTCGATCGAATTTTTGCCATCCTTGTCGATGGCATCAGTCGTAAAAATGTCGTCAAAAACAATGCTGGATGAGGTTGAGGCCATGGGTGATAGAAGAGATCGATTTGTGTTTGGACTAGTATCGAGTCCAGTGATGCGTTCACGCGTAAGTGAAGGAGTGTTTCTTGCTTATAACCGCACTGTTTAGCATATCCGCGACCAATCCGCGAACCCTGCTTAGCTATCCTTGCTGGCATGTTCGTGCGCAGTAGCAATGGCCTACAATTTCTCCGTTCAGCAACTCGCATAGCAGTTGCAAGCTAGACGTTCATCAACATTTACTGTCCAGAATCCATCCGAGCATGCACCACGAGAGGTGCCAACGCCTTTGGTTTTATGTTCAGCATCACGTTGGGATTTAGGAACACGAAATAAGTGAGCATTCCGTTCTGCTACCGTTGCCAATGTTCGGCTTGAACATTGCACGAAAACTGTCGATGATAGCATCCCCAAGTCGTTTGGTTCGATGCTCGCAGAGAAAGGTCATACTTGCATTGAAGTCGATTTTGAACCACCTGGTGAAAGCGAAAAGTGCTCCAGCTCACAGAATCTCGTGAATAGCTTGAGTGAAGGTATATTTCGTTTTATTCAAGGAGTGCATATTACATCTTGTCGGTTTCAGAGCTCAAAGTCAACTTGCGCCTTTCCGGCAGTGCCTTTCCACCCGTAATATTCGCTCGAGGCCTTGCTTCTCTCATCGCACAGACATATATATCCTCCCATCCAGCACAGGGACTGTTTCTGATTTCCCCTCCGCTATCCAACGCGTCACTGTTTCCTAGCGTTTCTTCCTGCCCCGCTAGGAGAGTTTGACTACGAACTCAAGTTCCCCATCGCAGTTATGGCCCGTCCAGCAGAAATGGATCAGCTAAGGAGGTATAGTCGGTTGGGTCAAAATGAGTTGGTCGACTTGATTGAAAGTGACAACTTAGAAGGTCACGATGCTTTCATGAGAATAGAGCAGTGGTTAGATGAACTGGGGATCTAATATCCTTTATTAGAAGGAACTACTGTCTTCCATCTTCTAAAGGTGTGGCTAGGGAAGGTTAGGATGCTTCATATGACTTTATTCTCCTTCTCACAGGGGTTGTTGCATTTGCTCTTAACGTACTTTTAGACACAACCTGCGGAGGTGTCGAATCTCTGTATCAGTGAGAATACAGACAGGAACGCCAGACCATGGAAAACCGACCTGTAAGATGAACGGTCTTACGATCACTCAAAAAGACGGTTCGCAGAATCAATATCGACTGGACAAGAATGGACAAGTCATGCTGGCCAGGGGTGAACGAATGTTGGACGAGATCGCTGGCCCCATACTTTGACCCTTGATAGCTTGACCTTGCATGGTATTCTTGTTTATCAGACTGCAGACAAATGTGGCAGCCACTGGTGGTACGATGTCATGTCATTGCTAGGTCTGTCGACCAAACGTTGACCCACCCGTACGACACCGTGTCCTGACCTGCGTTTTTTCTGTATTCTACTTAGTGTGACTCAGCGAACCTTGGAATCGACCGAGTGAGTTTTCAGTTTATGTCGGTGGTTATTACTTGAGTGAATGGGTTGTTGGTATAAGTACAATGGACGGCGAGACATCACGCACGAACGAGTGAAATGATTACACGGTTGTAGAGTAGCATGGATAAATGATCCCTTCACCATCAGCCCTGCTCATTGGAAGCAGCCTGTTTTTTTTCCACTTCATGTTGAGCGGTGGCCAAGCTTCCCATACCAGGAAGAACGATTCTCCACGTTCCTCGGAGAGCTAGTACTTTCCTGACCTGACATTCAATCAACTCGTGAAGTTTTGGTACGTCCCTGAGCATCGCTCGACTGCCCATGAGCGACGTTGTCTTAAGGTTAAGAGTAAAGTCTTGTGGCAACGATATGGTCAAAACGGGGGCTACTGATGCAGGAGATGGCGGGACCAAGGTAACCTATAGAACATGACTCTTTGTGTTCCAAAAAGTAAAACTTGGTAATCACTCACTTTTGACTCGAAGAGAGACAAAGATATCGTGAGTGAGACAGGTAGCCGAGCAAACGAAGACATGGGGTAGTTAAACAAATAGGACGTAGACAGTGAGACCGAAATGGTGTCTGTATATGACATGTCGAATTCGATTGTCTGTCTATCTGGTGAAATGGTTCTGTGTAAGGATGGCGTGAAAACTAACCGTCGGAGCGGAGTCCCCTTCGCTGTCATTCACGACCCGTGCGTTGGACAACTTGGGCGCAGACATCCCTAGGTCCACGGAATGTATCGTGATATGGTCCTATTGTAGTCGTGAGTTATGAATGAATACTATGTAGGCGGGATACTTGCTAGAAACCCGCGTGGACGCAACTCATTCGCGTGGTCCTCAATTTTCCTGCGGGCAACCTCGATTCCCTCATATCCTGTAAGATTGTTCTGAAGCTTAGCTCTGTACACCTCCACAACCTGATATTATATGAGACTTAATCGGAACCCGTCCACAAGCTCGGACAACAAACCTGCCTTGCAAGTATATTGAACCAATGCGCTGACTCCTTTTCTGGAGCACTGTCTGTGTCCTCCTCCTCCTCCACGTCTTGATGCCACGAAGGGTTTGATTTTGACAGAGGATGGAATGGGACGGTTTCTGTCTCGCTTTCGGGAGGAATGAAAAACAGGTATTTGAGAACCAGCGCGAGGAGAACCAAGATTGAGAGTTGACCTAGCACGAGGCCCTGTGTAAAAGTTGGCGTGAGGGAGAAGATATAGTTGTTTCCCATATCGGATGGGCGTTCAGGGAAAGCTCGCTGGCTTCAGGGAAAGCGCTGGTAATTGGCATATGTATGCTTGTTTCAATTTGGCAGGAAGCTTGTTAGCCGGTTACACGGACAAGCCGTATTAAAGGAAAGATCTCCTTCAAAACTTAACTCCATCAATCATCCATATGACTACTGCCTTTGTCTCCTGGCCATCAGCGCCGTTGACAGAGTCGCTCGTCAAGAGAGCTTTGTCAAATCTGTCCGTCTCAATTGTCACATCACTTCCTGGCACCCATGAATATTCGAAGCTGCTTCAGTGGTCCACCTACGATGCTATCAACCATGACCTGACACATCGTAATCCTGACAATGTCTTGTCGTCCTCTTATGCCATCAGAAAGGCACTCATTCGTAAACACTACTTAGCACGATGCATTCATTCGTACTTGACAAAACATCTCGACTCCGTCCTCAAGGACGCGGTGCCCAGGACATGGGATCTCGAGATCTCTTACGCGGATGAGCTGGATGAAATGTGGAGCGACCAACTTTGGGATCTTGGCAATGAAATTGATGGCTCCTCTCCGAGTCAATGGTGGATTTTGAAGCCTGGCATGGCAGATCGGGGAATGGGCATCAGGTTGTTCAACAGCAAGGATTCGCTGTATCAGATCTTCGAAGAGTTTGAAGAGTATTCCGAGGACGAAGATCAGATCGATGACACCTCTGTGATAATTTCACAACTTCGTCATTTTGTCATTCAGGTAACAAGGACTTTTTTTTTTTTTGCGATATCAAGTGCTGAACGTTGTTCGATCGCAGGAATACATACCTAGTCCGTTACTCTTGGATCCCAACGAAAGGTCTCCTTCCGTCACTGTGTTAAACCCACCTGAAAACTTGCAAGGACATAAAGTCAATCCGCTCTATCTTCTCCTCGTCAGCTTTTTATGACGCTGACGTCCAGTTCCATCTACGGGCGTACTTTGTTGCATCAGGAGCATTGCAACTATTCATGTATGACCGTGTTCTTGCTCTATTCGCTGCAGTTCCGTATGTCAGTCCGACAAAAAGAGAGGATGTTAACGATGCGGCCGCTCCCGGAAACATTGACTTGACACCTCATCTTACGAACACCTCGCTGCAAAGTGATCGAGGCGAGGAAGGCGTCCATCTACTTGATGAACTCTCGGGATGTCATATCCTATCCGGAGATGATACGGATCGTGGAGCGTTATTTACCCCCGAAGATATTGAGAACATAAAAGTTCAAATGGGCTCCGTTCTCGCGGAAACGTTTAAGGCCGCGTTAGAAATGCCTATACACTTCCAGGTAACATTGTTTGCTACTGATCGTTTGCCTTTGTGTTAAGTCTTGATGTCAGCCGCTTCCAAATGCATTCGAATTGTATGGAGTCGACTTCTTGGTGTCTCATGACTCAAGTGGACTCGATCCATCAGGCAACTCGCGAATCTTTCAAGTTAAACTTCTGGAAATCAATTCAGAACCCGCTATCGAATTAACGGGTCGAAGGCTACATAGAATTCTCGAAGACTTGTTTGTTGCGATCGAGCAGATTGCAGTACTACCCTTCTTTAGACAGGAAGTTGGATGCGTACCAAGCATGGAAGTGCCTGTGGTACCAAGGCACTTGCGGATGTGTCTTGATACAAAGGTTCGAGGATCTGGAGGTTGGTGAAGGATTAGAAATTTGTTACCCATGTATTCCCATCCTAAAATATACTTGCCTATCCAATGGGTGTTGCATAGATCATGACGCTGAGCTCTCCTCCTTTATGTTTATGCCGGATGTTGAAGGCTTTTTTCGACTGGGATCATGCCTTTCATCAGTCTCAAAGTCTCTTTTCCGCTTGTTATTTGTAAAAGTAGCGTCCTTCGCGTTTTTGGGAAGATCCTTGCGCCTTTCAAATAGTTGTTTGGCGAATTCTTGATCGTAGGCAACACGTCGGATACCAAACATTTCGATTTGAAGAACTCCGTCCCAGTACATCCTCTCCACCATTCGCATCTGCGAAGGCGGAATAAGGTCTTTGAATAAAACGGTGTCCTTAGCCATCGCTTCAATCCTCTTTAAGCGTTTTTAGTCACGGTTGATTTTTGAATCGGAAACGACCTACTGGAGAGCTCAGCTTCTTGGTGTGCTCCGCTGAAAGGAGGAACGATTCGCCTGTTCGTTCATAGGTACCAAGATACTTCCAGCCGTGGCCGTCGTGATAACATAAGTCTTTCTTTTGACCAAGCTCAACATCCGGACGGAGCCGGAACCATGCACCGCCGTTCTTTTGGGGATTGTATTGATGCGTTGGTCTTACGATAAGACCTAAGGCGATTCCTGCGCGGGCGAACATCACAACATCCCTCTCAAGACGGAGGGTGCCATCACAGCGACTGTGACTTGTAGATTAGCATGCCGCAGATCCTGTGACTGAATAAACCAACCAATGAGTTCGAGCTGTCTGTCGAGAACGTCAGTAATAACCTAAAAGCAAAGACTATCACGAACCCTAGGAATGCCCATAGAGAAGACGGGAGAATATACAGGGATTTCATTGGGATTCGGTTGGTCACCGACGTTCGGATACTCTGTGTTCCGAAAGAATGAAGGTGGGTCGGATTTGCTGCATGCCATTTCGCTACGAGGGTTCGTCACAAAATATAAGGTCTGCTTACAGTACTTTCCCTTCTGATGCCCGTTGCTCTCGTTCTTCTATACAGAGTTCAAGTTGGCCACGAAGTTCGTCGATGACCTGTGAAGATGTTTCAGGCATCATCCAATATCATACATTTGCGAATACCTCTTGGCACTCTCGTTTACTCGCTTTAAGCTTCCGATATTTTTCACGAACGCTAGTCAACTCTGCAAGTTGTTCATCTGCCTTCTCCTAGTTGGGTCAAAGTTTAGAAATACTGTGATATGTCTGGTCCCAATGTACCTTGTCCAATGTTGCCATGTTTTTCTCCTTAATCGCGTCAGCTAGTTCTTTTTGAATTGTATCCATCGACTGTTGATCACGATAAGATAAGAAGACCATACATCCAGCCATGAGTTAAATACCGCAGAGTATTGCGCTACAAGATTAGAGTGATCGCCCTCCATCTTGAGCGGAACGTTCGTTGTTGGATCCTGGAAACGTGAAATTTCCTCTCGAAGGCTAGCATTCTCAACCTTTAGTGTAACTATCTCTGCCCGCAGGGCTTCCTCGCGCTGAAATTGGGGACCAGTTGAATTGACATCGCTTGTAGGAGTCCCGGTTCTCTGAAAGGTCTTGCGTATGAGCTATCATGATAGTCGTCCAGAGAATGACTCGGGCTATTTTACCTGCTCAGCTTCACGGAGTTGGCTGCGGACAACCTTAAGTTCCTGTCCCAGAAGCTTGACCATTTCAGCTGCGAGCTCTGGGTCCATGACATTATCCATACTGACGGCTTGCTGACGACAGGAGTGAAAGTGATGAAGCGCACAACTGATTGACGTATCACGTGTCATTCTTTGTTCTCTCATAGCTGTGCGTAGATGGCCAAATACATGTCATCATCATCCTCGTTGCACAGTGCAAAGCATGGCAATGGCATCAGAATCAACGTCTTCAACATCAACACCGCGCAAAAGATCGAAATGGGATGAGGAAGATCCAGATGATATGGCAATTCGCCAACAACAGCAGCCATCGAAACGCTCCGTAAGGACTAGGTCTCGCGGCGCGCGCCCACCTAGTCCCGTGCGTTCAGAGTCGCATCCTGCTACTACTGGTCGTCATCCCCGTCCATTACATAGTATATATGTCCCTCCTCGAACTCACCATCCATCAATCCAACCATCTCGTTCAGTTTACTGTTATGAAAGACTCAATCAGATCGAAGAAGGGTCTTACGGCATTGTCTTCAGGGCGAGGGATAAGGAAACAGGCGATATCGTTGCACTGAAGAAATTGAAACTTGACGAGGAGAAACACGGGTTTCCTATTACTGCCCTACGTGAAATTAACGCTCTCATGTCATGCCACCATGATAATGTGGTACGAATCAGAGAAGTTGTGGTCGGAGATACTTTGACTCAGTGAGTAAAGCATTTCAGCAATGTCACAAAATCACCACGCCCACATACCAGAGTGTTCGTAGTGATGGACTTTATCGAGCATGATCTAAAAACTCTTCTGACACTCATGCCTTCGCCCTTCCTGCAATCTGAAATCAAGACTCTCATGCTTCAACTGTTGTCCGCGGTCGCACACTGCCATTCCAACTGGATACTTCATCGCGATCTAAAGACCAGTAACCTGCTCATGAATAACCGCGGGACGATCAAAGTTGCTGATTTTGGCCTTGCGAGACGGTATGGAGATCCTGTGGGTGTCGGTGGTCTGACCCAGCTTGTTGTGACACTGTGGTATCGGTATGTCAATTGTTCTCAACATAATGATAGCAGATGACTGCATCCCTCAAGGGCTCCTGAAATCCTGATGGGAGCTACAACATATTCGACTGCTATCGATATGTGGTCTGTGGGGTGCATTTTCGCTGAGCTCCTCCTGAAGGAACCACTGTTTCAAGCGAAAAATGAAATAGAACTTCTTGCCATGATCTTCAAGCTTCTTGGACCTCCCACTAGTTCATCTTGGCCTGACTACTCTACTCTTCCGTTGGCAAAAACCATCACTCTTCCCTCTCCTCAACCACATCAATTTCGTCAGCGTTTTCATCATATGACAACCGCTGGCATCGACCTGCTTGTATCACTACTTACCTACGATCCCGAACAACGTATCAGTGCTGAAGAGGCTGTACATCATCCATACTTCAGGTCAAACACCTCTTATCCTCTGTATATGCGCAAGCTAACATGAGCAAATGAAGCGAATCCCCACTTCCAAAACATCCAGATCTATTTGGCTCATTTCCATCCGCTGCTGCAGGCGAGAGGTACGCATGTGGGACTGCGGATGCTGGCGCTATGCTCAACACAAACATTGTAGACGCCGAAAGCCTTTCGACAGTCCATCAGCACCCGTGCGGGCAGCAGACTACAAACTTCTTACTGAAGTCGATCTTCCATAGAAGAAACTGCAATATATTGCGTACAATATTAAAATATATCCCTTGTAAAATTAAACATTATGAGTGTTATGACTCTCCAATACTTGACAATATTTGTCGCATCTTTTGGAAACGAGTTTTCGTACGTTCCATCTCTCCACACTGGTCATAAAACTCTTTAACCTCTTCTAGTGTAAACCTGTACTCCGTAGCTATTTCTTGTAACGTTCGGTCGATGAGATGGACGCCAGGGTCCGACAAAATCCCTTGAATAGAATCTGCATCACTGAAAAAATGCATGAGCCCATGATATTTAAAAACGGCCATGATTACGCACTTGGACTTCATTCTCTTACGCAGGGTTTTGTGCTTCACTTTCTTCACTGGCGGGTCGCTTCCCCCAGTTTGGAGGAGGTTCATCTCCGATGCGAACTGCCCACTCTTCGCTGTCTTCACCATCCTCCAGTTCTTCCTCTGCGGGGCTGCTTCGGACGAAAGCTCTTGATGTAGACGGTCCTGAATCAACCGGCGATGCGTCGAACACAATCACAGGTACTTCGGCGCCATTACCGTTAATGCCGCCAATTATCATTTCCTGTTTATGCAAATTCTGTTCCGCAGGTTTGGCGCGTTTCCTCCTGGGGCGTTTGTTTTTCTCTTCATCTTGCCGCACGTAACCATACTGCCCTTGTTCCCCAGGAATTGGCTTCTTCTGGTCAACGATTTGAGCGATCATGGTGTCTAACCGCACAGCATTCTTCTTGTAACGCTCGCGCCAAGACTGCCATGTATGACGTGAAACCCATGCATATTCTGGGTCCGCAATCTGATCTTCGTGAGCACGGACATACTGAGGTAGTAATAGAAAGGGTTCACCATTTCGCACAGTTGTTGATAGAGCCTATTTCCTGTTCTTCCGCCTGTCTGCTTGTATGGTATCTTCGCCGCAATCCATTCACACAAACGCTGTTCGTCGTCTTCAGTAAATGGCGTTCTCCTAGGGGAACGCATCGGTATATGTTCTGCGTGCAAGAGCGGGTGAGATACGTACTCTTCCCCAGGACGTCGGCCGCCAGGATTCTTGTAGATGAGAGGGGTGTATACAAGAGAACCCTTCTCAACACATTTCTTTACCCACAAGTACGACTCGACATGTTTATCTGGAATGCCTTGGTATGTCTTAACGAGATGCTGAAAGACTTCTGTGTTCGGGTCCGCAAGAATGATCTTAGCAGACTGCGGAGATGAAGTAGGGTCGCCACCAGAATGCTAAATGAAAGTCGGTGAGCTTGAAATAGACGAATTGAATATGCTATTGCGGAATATCGCTCACCATGATTCTCTGGCTTAAAGTTGTGCGTGCATTGATATTAGCAATGCTAGGGTGGATGTGCATCTTAACGGGTAAGCCGTTTTCCACAAAGATCTGCTTCAACTGCATGCCTGCAATCTTGCATGCTTCCACATATGTATACGGCACGAAATGGCGTTGTGGTCTATCCTGCGACATCCAGCACAGGCGAAGACGCTCTTCCTCCGCAGTACCAGGTTGGACCAGTACGTAACCCTGTCTTGGAACCTTTGCTTCGACGCGACCACCTAATGACTGAAAGCAAATGAGATCAGACTACTTATGCTAGATACTGGGATGCCACAACTCACAGCGACGACTTCACACAGCTCAGCCTGAATTTCCTGAGCGATATCTTTCTGAATGAAGAACTTGATGGCGAGACCATTAGCGTCCTGGAATATGGGCTAAAATGCAGAGTCAGAGGGGTATGAACATGGTATTATTTGCCTACCATAACGATGTGCATTGACTGGCTGACACTAGAGGCTCAGAGTAGTGGCGTTAAGAAAACCCTCGATTGAGGTTAGGGTTAGTGGGGCCAACTGAGTTTAAAAGGCAATCCGTGACCTTGTGTCACTGTGGCAAATGCATTCGACTCCGACCCACGGGACAATGGGTGGAGGCAAGGTGGAGGACTTGATCTGGCCGCCATCCACTACGCTCGACCAAGTTTCTGAAGGACCGCATGAAATTATTATACAAGTCATCCCACAATCCAAGGAATAATGCGTGATTGCAGGCGAATATTGTAAACTAGAAAGCACAAACTATTGGCAATTTTAAGAGCTCCACGTCAAGTGTTGTTGTCATGCAGAAGCTTTCATCTCCCTCAGTTGCTTCGCAATATCGTCAGAATTAACGTTCTGCACCGCATCCTTCCCGACTTTCATCCTCCAGAAGCGAGTCCTTTTACTGATTTGCACTTCGACTTCGAGCTCAGAGTATGAGGGAATCTGTGCTAGGGAGGGACGGATGCCAACTGTTACGCCGGTTGGATGGAGTGACCTATTTATCAGAGACATTGGCTCGGGGTTGATGTCGACGCCAAGACACCCGTCTAGTTTTTCTTTTCCGTGGTCCATATTCGAGATGTTGTCAAGGGCCAACTTGGCCGTGACCGGGTTCCCGTGAAACTGCGATCGTTCAGGTGTTGAGGTGGGCAACAATGTAGGAGGTGGAGGATTCTGAGAACCATAGGTAGCCTCTGGAGTTGATATCAGCGAGTGATCAACATCATCGGGTCCGTATAGAGAGGCCGCGATACAAGGTTGAGAATGTTTGAGGAAATCTGCCTGCAAAAATGCGGATTAAACTTATTTTTCTGAAAAATAAAATAAAGCGAACTACAAACCTCTGTCTGTGGAGGGTGCAAAGCATACGGGAGCTTCCCGTCTATGACATTGACGGCATGCTCGCCGTGGGTTTGCAGTCGCAAAACCCCTTCTGCATCACGCAGTGACCTACTCTTCCTTGGCTTGTACGAGCTTGGAAGTACTGGTGCTGATTGGGAGTCTGTTGTGGAGTCCAAACTCTGCCGTCTCTGGTGGGCCTTACTTAGATTTGTTGAAAGGCTTCCTGCCAGACTCCTAGACTCAGCTATATCTGTTGGAAGAGTGGAGGATAAAATCAACTCCGGCGGAATCTCCTCGCCCAAGTGACGAGTCAGTTTAGCCAACCTGGCCATCTGCAATTGCCTTATTTTCCGATAATGTGCAGTTGGATCATCGCTTTCCTCATCCGTTTCATCTCCAACAGAGATTACGGGTGAAAAGGATGTTTTATTTGTGGGCTTCTTTAGTGCCATATCTGTAACGCACATCGAAGGTGGTCGAGGCAGTGCACTAGTGAAGGGGGTGGCATGCTGCGAGGAGGATGTCTGAGCGGAAGCTGACATTGATGATAAACGTCGCGAGGGATGTCGAACCAATCGTTTACTGCGACTGCTAACAATGCCATCGCATTGAGTAGGGATCACTGGAATAAATTCCCTGGACTTGTTGGCAGTCGTACCCAATCGAGGGATAGAAAATACTCGGTTCAGCTTTGCAGCGGCAGGCCAAGGGCCGTCACGAATTACCCGTGATTCGGCCTTTTGCGGAATGGTGTTGAGCTGAGGAGGGGGGAGTGGTTTGGCAGCTGCAGCTGGTCTGCGACGCGTGCCATCCTGTGATATACTGCACTGAAGCTCGACAGGGCGAGTAGTGCTGGATGAAACATATTCTCCTGGCTGGACAGGCATGATACTATACACGAGCAAGTCAAAGTCCGCCGATAATACAATTTGAATTGCAGAATAACAGCGGGAAGGTCACTTCGACATCAATGAGGCAACGAGCGAATAATGAAAGAGACGGCGTACTTACCTGCGAACAGTGAACACTAAGTCTACTTCGCGCAAGGAATTGGCGGCGAGCCTGAGAGGGGGAACTATGTCAGGATTCCAAATTTCAAGCTGGCGCTGATAAATGACCGAGATAGACAGACAGCGAGGTCACTCGACAGCTCGGACCGTCTACGTGAGTAGATGCACGCGAAGTTGGTTGACCTTGAGTCGTTTCCATGAGTGACCCTGATTGAACTTGGCATGTACACAGCTAATATCGTCATGTCTACTCTGGATTAAAAAAATTCTCCGAGTTATGGAAGTATTTTAATCCTCCGTAAATATTGTATCATATCAGGCACGATGAATAGCCACGATTCAACACCCGGTACCTACCGGTAATACCGCGGTAAAACAAATAGGTGAAATTAATTCCAGACCGGTTACGGTTATACGGATATAATAAGTATGCGCTGTTTGAAAAAAGTACTCGAACTCACCCAGCGGCTGCTCGGCACGCTTTTCGAATTGGGGATACACATCTTGTGGCCTTCATGAGTGTCTCTGAGATCCCTTGTCGATACCACTGGCAGTGGGCATGCATTATACTAGTGAGGCCAGGGACTGGCACATCGCGTGGCGACGCCAGTCGACGAATGCAAGATTTAATCCAGAAACACAGCAAGCCTTGGTCTAGTACAGCTACTGCGGTGAGAAGTTCACATCATAATGGTAACCGCCTATAAAATGCGGTCGTCCATGGAGGCTAGCCTGTGCTGCAGCTCAAAACAATGTAATATGCGGCACAATAGCAATATAATGTAATAGTAGGCAAGTATGTAGGCCAAAGTTCAATGCGAAAGGAACTATCCAAATGAAGAATCTTCCCGAGTCACCGTGGATATCAGGTCATTACAACCATTCCGTTGAGTCTTGCCAAACATCGCCGACAGTCGTATGTCTGGGGGCAATTTAACTAGCGAAACACGTTTCGCTGCTCGCGTCTTGTTCCACTCCTCAGCTTGCTCTTCAGGCGACTCTTGCGCTGTGTAAAACTTCTCGTGAACGGAATGGGGAGTGCTGTCTTGCACGGATAACTCTAGAGAGCTCGGAATAGAATGAGCCGTCCGAGACTCCGAGAGACTGGTCTCGGCCTCTAGGAATGGGTACCCTGAGCCCTCCCCTTCAGTGAGAGGGGAATCTGTGATCTTCGGTGTGTCTAAGACGTTCGACACAGAAAACGCATAGTTTGTCGGCCAGTCTGGACCAAAATCCAGAGCAGACCGGAAAGAATCGTCGATAGAGGACTCCAGAGAACTGGGTATGGCTTTGGAAGATGGTTGCGGCAACGACACATCCAGTGATCCATCATCGGGCGATGACATCGGCTCAGGTATACACCGTCCTCGACTCTGTAAAGTATCCATGGCAGCGTTCAAAGCAATTGTAGCTGCCTGTTTGAACCCTCGCTCTTCTGCTGCCACATCGTTTAGCAGGACATTACGGTGACAAATGAGCCTGGCAATCTCCAGACGCAACTGGGAGATCTGCTTTGCTACATCTTGTACTGCATCTTGAAGCCGATCTCGTGTTGACCGTTGGAAGGGTGTCAAAATTGCTATGTTGCGAGCGAAATGCATCTTCGTTTCGAGAAGTGGCTGCGCTACACAAATCCGATCTTCGAGATCGCCGATGGTGGATTGGAGGAGAATGGTGCGATTGCTTTGGGGAAAGGGATTACCGTCGGCTGTCAGGGAAGAGCGGTGTCCAAGGAAAGGAACAACAGCATCAGATACGTCATTCGAGGACAATGACTGATCACCCAGACTGAGCCGAGCAGCAGCCAATTGCGCTTTCACTTTGTCGAAAGTAGCTTTGAATTGGGATGCCCCCTCTATTTCACGCACGGCAGGAGGTTCATGGGTGACATCGTGCCGAGCTTCGAAGTCCTCTGGGTTTGATCGCTCGATAGCATCTCCTGTACTTTCGTCGGTCGACTTAGTAGCACGAATGAGGGGGCTTTGAGAACCCCATGACCGAATTTTGGGCTGGGATTGCTGCACTACCCGTAAGTCTTGGAGGTGTGATTGCGCAGCAGCAACCCCAGTTAGCGTCACCTCCCTGCCTGTCATGCCAGGGGGACGCATTCGTATCCCAGCAGACTTGAAAGCACTAGCATAGTTGATGCGCGAAACCCATTGATTGACCTCCAGTTCACTTGAAGCCTGGAACAAGATCTGGCGCCCATCAGCGAGGGCCAGGCGAAAGGTGTTTGAATGCTGCAGAAACGTTAACATCGCATAGAAGAGTAATGAAAAAGAAAATACCTTTTGATATGACCGATCGAACACAGCGAGTGCGTCCTTCACCGACAAAACTTCATCAGGTTTGCAATGTATGGTCGACCTCCTGGAGTAATCCGAGGATGACAGAAAAGTGGCAGCCCATGATGGATCACGAAAAAGAAGGACTTGCGAAGTCGTCAAAGCAACACCAAACGACCTCCACTTGCGGTTCGAGGGTTTTTTACCGCCTTCCAAGATCTCGTCTTTGCGGTTCAAAACAGAGACTTTCGACAGCTTAAGCCGCCAAGTCTCTTTTTGAGACGGTAAAAAACCGGGAAGTGCGTTTGTCCCCATAAGTGGAGGATTGGAGACGCTGAGGCCGAATAACCCAGAAGGCAAGCGATTGTGTTCAAAGCAAGTAATCTCTATCGTATCCCCCTGGTCAAAGGCAGACCAAAGTTCGTCATTATTCCAGGAACCACTCGTTCCCTTCCAACAGTATGGGTTGTCTAAGGGTATGTGCTGTTCAACATTCACGCGGAGCGAATCAAGCAAGTGCTTCAAAACAAAGTGTCATTGACAGTGAATTGAGGGAGCGAGACTACTTACATTGGTGATCAAATAATATGGATCAATCTTTGGTCTGCTCAGTAGAGTACCTCCTATGGGTGTCATTGGAACACCAGCGGAAGTAGGAGGTCGCGAAAGACTACCATCAATTGATGGCCGAGGGGGGTCCATAGGGTCCTCGATAAATATGAAAGGAGCGAAGACAATATTATCATAGAAGCACTAGGGCATGAATCAGTTCTGAGGGGTTATAATAGTCAGTTTACAACGTACATCTAGCACTTCGGGTATAATTCCTGAGATAGCCGTGTTTTTCTGATAGTCAACTTTTGTCATCTTGCGCTTATTGGATTTGTTGAATGCATCTGTGTGAAGCATGATGAGACTGAAGGCGAGAATGTATGGGATATCTAAAAGTCCGATGAATACGAGTCTATTGCCTATACATCGGTGAAATCGTGCTTACCGTCGGACATAAATATATCTGGGTTGCACTCAACGTACCGCTTTGCAAAAGCTTCGATCACCCTATCGATTTGTTGTGTTTCCCGGGGAAGACCAATGTGCATTAAAAGCCGACGCAGAGCAACATCCAGAGGATCCCCAGTAAAAGAAAACTTTCCGATGTAAAGTTTGAGAGTAGTTACATACTTGACTTCCGCACTGAGAATCAACTTAGAGTGGTGAAAAGTGAAAAGTGAAGTGGTGTACCTTGATCCCAATAACCCCGCAATATCACCTTTACCAACAAGGGAGGAAAGTCTCTGCAAGAAAACCTCAGGTAACTCGTCCTGTTGAGGTCTCAGCTCCTCAGATGGTACCGATGAAAGTAATGGGGGACGTGATCGAGAAACTGGCGAGGCGGTTATGGAACTGCCGGGAACTGTTCCAGATTTTGCTGAGGCAGTAGATGATGCAAAAAAATTGATCGAAAGCCGGTGGAAGAAGAGGGGGATTCGTAGCAGAACGTGGTCGATTATTTGCATGATTGACGGAGGTAGACGAGGTGAGACTTGAGAGTGCGTTTCCAAAATGTGGAGTTTGTGTGGAAGGACCGGATGTTGTCTGTGGTGACAGAGTAAAAAATGAACGAGTACGTGAACGAACCGAATCGGCAGTCATGGGGCGGCGCGGTGTGGGTCGGGGTGGATGATGGGAAGAAAATGTTGGATTGGCAGTCGTTGAATGATGCTGGGACGAATCAAATGCTGGTAGAATCTTGGGTAATGCAGGTGCTTCAGAGTTGGAGGGAGACGGACGTCTGGAGAACTTCTCTGAGTGACTTCGTGTCAATCTCGAAGCGAATCGTTGCGGTGGCTGCTCAGAAGATGCAAGAGTGTCCGAATGGAAGTCTATATGAAATGGTGATGTCGGCTGCAATGCTGGAAGGGACAGAGAATCAGACGGAACTGAAAGCAGCTGCCGCGAAGATTTGGTCGACACCTGACGAACAGGTGATGATTTGTTGTTTTCACCAGTCGGCGGTGGTTCCGCATCTTTTCGTCTGGAGCTTGATCGTCTCTGACCGAAGGAAAACCCACGAACTCTATCTGCACCGTCAAGAGGCTGAGTTGACCGGTCCGCCTGTTCATGTGAAAGGAACGATTGAGTGCTTCTTGTGTGTCGTAGCGGGAGGGTCGAGTCACGTTGGTTCATGCCAGTAGGTGAAGTAGTGACAAAAGACACTGTATTCACTCCACGGGGAACAGCATTATGATATACATCGAAATATAACGTTGGTTGTGTATGCCTGGGTTCAGCGGAAGTTGGAGGTGTGTTTGCTCTTGGCAAGGTAGGTGAGGGGGCAAATCTGTTTGTGGATATGGGCGACAATGTGTCCAAGGACGTTTCTACAGCGTCGGAATTGCCGGCTACTCTTTGAATTGGAGGAGTGGGCGGGAGCTCCTTGTCCAGCATAAGATTTGAGGGTTTCCTCCGAATGACGCCGAGTTCATCAGAGGGCATACCAGCTATACTTCGGCGAGCAGACACGGAGGCAGGTAGTATCTTTCGTGTCCAGTGAGGAAATGAAAAGAAATGAAGGGGACCATGACTTGTTGTCACTAGTACTCTGAGGTTGGCGGCCGGCGGATTGATTGGGTGCAGACTTGTCACGGTCGGGGAAGACACGACCAGTGCTTCCATTAGCATGGTTTGGAGTAGTATCAGGATAGCAACTGCCCGTCGCTGGACAATTCCTGCTTCCTGTACCCAGAAAGCCAACCATGCTGGAACTTCCAGGCTTCTCTGGCTGTAAGCGGTCAAACTTCTACAAGTGGCTGTGATGAGGTCTAGTGACCGGCGATGATAAGTAAGAGCAATGATGCCAGTTTAGCGAAAAGAAGTTGACTCAAAAATCGTGGGCATGAGCGTCAGTCGCGCTCTCCAGCACGAACGTGATTTCTGAGAGCTAATCAGCCTCACACGTTGAACGAACTTTCAAGATCGTAATATCGTCCTCTTCGGCCCACCAATGAGTTAGCTAATACTAATACTTTTCGTGGGATTCGGTATATTCGCACCGGCGGTGACACCTGTGAGGACGAGCATAGATATGATGGGGACTTAAGACTACAACAAATCTCATAATACCCTGGCCTTCCGTCGTCTGTCCTTCTCAATCTTCGTCCTCTTTTCTTCGAGTTTGGCGTGCTGTAGAACTGTAAGATTAAAACACAAAACCCCATTGGAAAACTCCAGGACGGACCTCAGTAGCTCGTTTTTTCTCCCCGTATTTCATTCTTTCGTACAACTGACGCTTGCGTTTGCTCATCAAAATCTTGTTCATGTCTTCCTCACCACTGCCATCGACAACAGCGTCTTCCTTGTGCTTCTGCTGTTTCTGTTTCTTTTGTACCTCCTTCTCGAAAGTGCCATAGTCGACGCCTGCTGCTTCTGCTGCAAGCTCCGCCGCACGCAAGGCCTCTGGGTCATCTGCAAGCAGCCACCGCCAAGGCAGCCATTGAAGTTACGTCTCCCTCTAATTCCGATCCCATCTACCACAGTCTTCTATCTCCTGACTGTCCTCACTGAGCTGAGCGTCGTCGACTTCGACCAACGAATTTTCGACGTTCGCCAGGCCAATGGTTGGGTCATATGCTCCATCTCGTTCGCCAAATGGTGATAGGTGGGGTGGAAGTGTCTTCCCCTGGGCATAAAGATCCTCGAGCAGGATTTTTCCAGCGTTGATGCAATCAACCACCCACTGAGGTTGTACATACTTCCTTTGTCTTCTACGTTCTCGTTCCTGGGCTGTATCACCCTTGGCAGCGGGCCTGTCAATAATGACATGGGTGATTGCCTCATCATCCTCCGTAAATGGCGAGCCACCTCCTGATGAGACCGGCCAGCCTATACGACCGCCAAAAGACCCGATAAGGAACTCGAATATTGATCGTGATGATTCGCGTGATAGCCAAAAAGTGTATGGGGCAAATATGTTTGTCGATGATGATTTTGGTAAGGATGAGAGTGAGAGAAGTGTAGGGAGCAACGACGGTACATCAAGATCAGATTTTGAAGCTTGCGGTACAAATTCCTCCTCAGCGGCATCGGGAAAGGAATTGGTGCGATCAATGCGATCAAGATCTACATCAGTAGGAGGCACCGAGGATGATTCTGCAGTGATGTTCTTGATTGTCTGCCGGACTTCCTTGCTGGATACCTTGGGTGTATCGTTCTTCGGTGCTCCAGCAGCTGGGTTAGGGTTTGTTGATCGAAGATCGAACGCTCCAACACCAGCTCCAGATTCGTCCTTGCCAGAATCCAATGGTGGCGGATATACGAGTCCAACATCTGTATATAACTTGAAAAACACGAACCCAAGTAACGTCTGGTACAGTTCAAGGAAGGTAAGCATAACACGGACATCCACATCAGATGGTATCTGAGTGGAACGTATGAGCAGCATAGACAGAGATCCAAGAAGATAGCTCACGTTCTGAGGGAACTGATATGGCACGAGCCAGGTTACATTTTGATCCATCACTTCTGCTTGGTAGTATACACCCTTGATAGACAAGAAAACATTTCGTAGTGACCGCGTGTGCATGACATATAATTGCCATTCTGCAGTCAAACGAGCACAGTTTTCGATGAGAGCGGGCGAAACCCGAGGATTGGAAGGGAGAGATGCAAAAAGGTGAATCATACAAAGTGCATCATCGATGTCTCGTACTGCGTCGATAAATGATGGGTACCTAAACTCGATCAGCCAATGCCTTTCAAAATGCCCTGCGTTGCATACCTCTCTTTGATAATATGATCCAATCGGTATACAGGTTTATTATCCTCCAAGTTCTTCGCAGTTGACCACTCTCCTCGTCCAAGTGCTCGAGAGATTTTTTTCGCAAAGGCTTTGTGCTCCCTCAGCTTATTGAGGACTGGTTCATGAGCGAGGTAAGCGATATCTTTCGCATAGTAAAATGACGTCGGTGCTGTTGATCCCTTGTTCGCCCGTTTCTTATGTCTGGGCTCACGAGGGAAGATTCCTATACAACTTTCAGTGGATTTAAATCTGCGAAATAACTAAAACGACGCACCTTTGAGGATACATAGTCGGCGAAAGTCAGCCAGAGAGCACTGAAGTTTTTTCACAGCAGATGACCGCGTAACATAGGCCTTTGCTGCACCAGCCTTTCCTTTTTGTTTCAATCGACCCATGGCGGAGACGGGATGTTTGAGCTATTTCTTGACAAGAGCTCGATGTGTATACTTTCAGATTTCAGACAACTGAGTATTTTCGATCGGTTGTTTGGCCTTCACAAACAAACGCTCCTTACAAGCAAATCATGAGGTAGGTGACAAGGCTCAAGGCACTTAGATGTTGGCTAATAACTTTCCAGTCAATACGTGCATGTACCTAAATCAGAACTCGACGAGGCTCAGCTGCGCCAGCTGGAAGAGCACGAAATCAGCCAGGGGCCCCTTTCAGTGCTGCAACAGGCAGTCCGCAACCATGCCCAAGTCCTCATTTCTTTGCGAAATAACAAAAAGCTTCTTGCTCGTGTAAAGGCCTTTGATCGCCACAGTAATATGGTGCGTTATCCTTTATTATTTGCCTGCAAGTTCTAAAGTTGATGTGCTGCAGGTACTTGAAAACGTCAAAGAGGTCTGTTCTAGTTCATCACTAGCAGAGGTCGTACTGAACTACGGTGCAGATGTGGACCGAAGTCCCTAAGGGTAAGAACAAGAAGCCAGTCAACAAGGATCGGTTTATCAGCAAAATGTTCTTGCGGTGAGTGATATATTCATATGTACTATCGCGACAGGGTGATGATTGTGATCTGTTAGCGGAGACTCGGTGATTCTTAGTAAGTGGAGACACCCTGAAATATTTTTCTCCTTGATAACGTTCTTTAGTTCTGCGCAACCAAGCTTAGATCTGTACCGAACAGTCTTCAAGGGCCGAGTGCACTCTGTGGCCCAACTCATCCCTTGTGCGGTTCTACTCCATGTATAGAATTTTCTCGGGCTTGCTCCGACACTGCACTACATCATCCTAAAAACCACTGAAAATCAGATACTTGTAAAGGAGATACGAATCTATGATGGGGCAAAATTTCGAAAGAAAATGTGATGTGGTTGAGGAGCTACAAAAGTTTCGCTGAAAGTTTTGATATCCCAGAGAATGATAGTACCCTAGCTTACTTGCATTCGAAGCGGATCTGAAAAGTACGTCGTGCATGTGAATTATATTGGGCTCAATCTTCGTAGTACTGTCTTTGGGTTCTCGGCTGGTGCATATTTCGTACCAGTTATTAGCACTCAGGTGAGCTAGTAGGCGGACATGTCACTGGACTGGATGAGCAGCTTGAATAACCTCCTAGCAGGAAAGATCGACAAATGTAAATGCTTGCGCCTTTCTTAGCCTCGCTAAAGAAATTATAGTTTCTTGTACACCTGCAGTTACAATACCCTCCCAGAATGTGTATCTAGGCATGATGAGTTCAAATGGGTGGTACAAGACGCAGATTACCCAGATCATGCAAGTAGTAATAGAGTGTGACGAGTGTCAAAACGTAGGACGGTACAAGCTCGTCGTCACGCATTGATATGAAGAAGACACTGGAAAAGGTGGCTAAACAGAACTCGTCACATTCTGAGACTTCTGAAAGATCTCGCCCAGGCCCCAGCACATATCGAGTCGAAAGGGAGATGGGAGCCTCGAACGATCGACACAGGTGGATCTCTCGGCCAGTGGGAGTTTATGCTGAACATGCAGTTTTTGTCCAACAAATCGTCCCTGGGGGCCTCCTGAGTGCTGATATCATTTCGACGCTGTTAGATCCGTTCTAGATAGCCGTGGCCATCGCAAGGGACAGTCGCAAATTGTTCCAGTATCTGACCAGCACCTTCGACTGTTTCGATGCACAGTGAAAGAAGTGTGACCGGAGCATCAGACAGTTGGGGGCTTACTGCGGTCTAGTGAATATTTGGGAATTATGCAGGCACGAAATACGGGTTTGAGCCCTTCCCTACGATATCCCACGGATATCTTTCTTTGTTCCTGGTTAAAGGTCAGATGAGATCCCAGCCATAGTCACGATCATCCCATTCAAGGAGAATCACCGCACTCCCGACACATCAAGATCGCAAGAAACTGTATCGCGTTGCTCCTCCCTGCTGCGCACAGCTCAGCAAGGTCCAAATATGACAACTCAGGGGCATAATGAAGGTTCGATTCGTTCCTAGCGGTGACCGGCACCCTGAGGGAGCGGTCGTCGCCGTGAAGAGATTATCCTGCTCCGGGCACATTTAAGAGTACCCACACCGCTAAAGCTATGTCTGGCTCATCGACTGCAAAATGAATACCGGAATTTCAATTTGAGTCCCGGTCATAACGGCACGAAGCTTGGACCCTGAACTGTGAACTTGAAAGGACTTTTAGCAACAATTTCGTAGGATGTCCTGAGTGAACAAACAAGAGGAATGGATATCGTTTGTACTTATCTTCATACATTCTTGGGTTGAAGTCAATCAGGTTGCATGATATGCGAGACAAAACCTTACCACAGACCGAAAACCGATAACAGAAAGGCATGTTCAATTAGGGAAGCAATTTTGCGTAGTGTGGTGAAGTGTTCTTTTTATCAGTATCGCGCTACTGTTAATGTTCGCCTCTTGTTACGATATGAACGAGGGTTGATAAACAATACACCTTCATTGTGTGATTTGCGATGAGGATGTGGTGTTTTCAAATCGTTTTTGACACCCGTCCTGATGGATGAGAAGAGTGCGGACAGTTCGTATCTGATCCTTCTTGTCCTGACCGGAATCGTCACTGTATGCATGATACTGCTGCTTGCAACGAAGAAGACTTCCGCGTCCTTGAAGACTCTAGGAGCCTTGCCATCACAACAGTGCTGTTATGACGATGATATAGCCTATAGGGCATGAGGCTGTGATGTTGGAAGTATTTGCCGGATTTCTCGACGAGCTATAGTAATTTTTTCCTCTATGACAACCTAACCTACGATGAGCGCCAGAGGCAGTAAATCACGAAAACGAGACTAACTCACCACGTCTGTCAGCCATTTATTGCGTTCGAATTCACTACGAAACCAGGCGATGGTCTCCGACCTTGCCTGTGGGTCAGGTATGTCTGACGACGGTAATGAGCTGTAGTGATTTTTTAGAGAACACGACAGCGCACATTTGGACGCTCTTATAGCATGACGATACAGATGGATAACTCTCTGCTGCAAAATGAAATACTTGAGACCAAAATCTGGCATGTGCGCTCTTGAATGCTACAAACAAGAATTGTGGCTAGAATTAGAGTTGCTCTGTTTTGCTTTTCCGCTCTTCAAGTCCGCGTTGCTGGCATTGCTATTGGGACGACATTTTACTTCTCTCACAAGTTTCTTCAACATTTCATTCACACCACAATGTCTGGTGTAGAGAATCAGGTCGCTGTCCATGACGTTGTCTTTCCAGAGGATGGTGCTATTGACAACTTATCTGACGCTATGGCCAAAGTTTCTCTCCGACCAGACAAGAATTCATCTTCCCAATCACCAGAATCCGTTGCTGACAGTCTTAATAAAGACAAAAATGATATCCATGGTCGACCCTTTGTTATGTATTCCCGACTTCATCTACTGCTCCTTCATAAATCTCCCTTGGTCTGTACTCCGACTGGCATGCCAGCTTTGAAGGATTGGTTTGGGTTCGTGCCATGTCATACTCCTCGAGCTTGTGGCTTATTCTACCTCTGAAGAACCGAAAGCGACCAAGGCAATCTTAAAAAGGATTCAGAAGCACTTCCTCAGCCCAATGCTCGTGACCGACGGTGAGGGCTGCTAGTAACACCATTTAGACCTACTTAACATCATTACAGCTTTCGTAGAGATGCGGAGGACGGGGGTAAGCATCATAATTACCTTCTCTTGAGACCGGGTCTGATCAATGTCATTAGAAGGCGCCGCCCGGCCTTCTTTTCGTGGAGCTGCCATCACGCAACCTTCGCAAATGGGCAACTTCAAGCACCAGTCCATTCGTGCAACTGACCGAGACAGAGACAGAGAAACGGACAGGGAACAAGAACGTGATTCCCGGGTTAAAGACGGCCAAGAAAGACTACGGAATGTAAGTGACCTAGGCTGTTGCGCGCCAGAGCGCTCATATGTTGTCCAAGTTGTCGGACAAGTATGACCGTGACCGTCGTGCTCTTTCTTCCATGCAGCAGCTTCGAGGAAAGGACAGGGACTTAGCCCCTCACCTTGGTGGTACATCCTCTCGCATAGCGTCCCAGTCGCAGCAAGCTCCGAGTAATCGTCAGTTGGATTCCCGAGAACCTTCCAAAAAGAAAGATGGTGAGACCAGCGAAGATTGGAGACGTGGTACGTTCCCTACCTCACATATAGCCCTAGGTCACTGAGTTGCGGAATAGAATCAACTCGTACAGGCCGTGAACGTAGGACTGAATTTTCTGTTTCTATATAATGACCGCTCATCGTTCCTCTAGGTTCTGATAATCCTCGGCGCGATCGAGATGAGCGTGACCGACCTCGCTCAAGGGTCCGTGACTCTTCCCGCCAACGACGAGATGTTTCACCATCGAGACGAGATCGGGACGACAGGGATCGTGATCGCAGAGGCGACCGCGATGACCATCAAAAAGAAACAACAGGATACCGAAAGGACAGGGAAGACCGTGACTTGGATCGAGAATCTGAGGTGGACGATCCTCGCCGCTGGAGGGACGACGGAAAGCGTGATGAGCGTATAGCAGCGAGACGGGACCGCGAACGAGACAAGGACCGGGTACGCGACCGCACTGCCGCGTGGGATGCTAGCGATCGTCAGGATCGTCGATGGGCTCCCGCCGATGACCGTGATGGTCGAAACAAGCGAGTGGCTGGCCGCGAGAGAAAACCTGACGAGGCGAAGGACAGGGACGATCGCAAGGATCGTGACAGAGAACGTGAGAAAGAGAGAGAGAAGGAGCCTGCATGGATGGACACATACATCCCTTCTTCTGGCAGCAACGGTTTAGGTCGTGCCCCCGGAGACCTGGATGACATACAGGCGTTCAAGCGAGAGATCAAGGAGAGAGAGCAGAAGGAGCAAGGTACTACTGCGCAAGACGATGATCGTTCTGGTGACTTTGAAGGAAAGACGAATACGTCCGAACCACACCTGGACGAAATTCAACTCTTCAAGCTGATGATGAAAAGGGAAGAACAAAAGAAGAAAGCTGACCAGTCTCCCCTTGCGGGTCCATCGTTACTCGCAGACGCATCTTCAGATACCAAGGACTCAACTCCTACGAACGGCAAGTCAATTCTTTCTCTCGGGCAGGCTCAATGTGCTAATACACGGATAGACCTGTCATCGACTGAAGCAACTGCAGAGCACCGCACTTATCTTCCACCTCAGCCAATTTCTTCGCAATCGTCTAGCTTCTCCACCTCTACCACAGGCTGAGCCAGCTCCCCACGATGGTTCTCGTGTACCCCTGTCTATGTTATCGTCCCCATTGTCCTCCGTTGCACCTGGAGTATCAGCAGGTGCCCACGAATCTGACATCGACAAAGAAAAACCTAGGAGGTTCTCGCTTCTTCCCCAAGCCTATTCCTACTGATTTACCGGCACCTCAAGCTTTGCCAAAGCCTTCTATCGAAGCGCTCAGCGCCCCTGTCCCATCAGCTCCTCACACTGCTGCTCCGCCAGGTTGTCGTCTTCTTTCTTTTACCTCCAAAACTCCTCAGGGGTCTGTAGGTCACACCCCTCCTTCGTACACAGGTTCACATTCCCCCGTGTCTCTGTCTAAGAATGGCACACCAGCAAGCAACTCAACCATCCTCTCAAATGGACCGTTGTCAACTACACATCATAACGACAATATGGACGCTGTGAGAGCAACTCGAGGCTTCTCGCCGTTTGAGGAAGCTCGGGAAGGACTTGGGTTGTCGCCTTTGGATGCGTTCCGTCGAGCTTCTGTTGCACCTCCTGGAGATCGCAATGCCTTTGGGCATATGAATCCTCGAACAGGTTGACTGTACCCATGAGCGGGCCTTTGCCTAGCCACTCTGTTCCGTACGAGCAATTGAACTCTGGAATCGCAGCTGCGAAAGGCAGCCGGTTTGCGAAGTTCTTTGACGGGAAAGGGAGAGATTCTCAACCAGGAATGGGAAAGGTTCCAATGGGTGGCCCAACACCAGCACAGAGAGGCGAACTCAGTGGATACAATGGAATACCAACCGGCAATCCGGATGCTAGAGCTATGGAAGATATATTTGCCATGTTGAGCAACTCAGCACACGTAGGTCGTATCAGCGTCTACCTGTTTTCGGCACTGATATCAGTTTTAGGGTCAGAGGCCTCATATACTACCAGAAGCGTTGGCTTCAGATGCTGCACATTTCAATCATCCCTCCAACCTTCACCATCTTCAAAACCAACTCGGCCACTCCCAGCACTATCCTGGCCACACCCGTCTGGACTCATTGTATGATAGCCGTCTTGACGACAGGAATTTTGTCCCTGATGGCATGGTGCCCGGCTTACGTTCCGCTGCCCCTCCTCGGAGTAGGCAAAACGGCGCCATGCTCTCTGACATCGATGACTCTATGCAGTTTGGTGGTCAACGCGGTCCTCCTCAAATGTACCAAGGATTACACCAGGCGAACATGAACCGCAATGGAGGCATACCTCTCCAATCATCCCAATTCCGTGGTGGCCCTTCACCGAATCCCTTGCAGCCTTCATCTCAGCGCTTGCCGCCTGGTTTGGCTAATTTAGGTGGGCGACCGCCTCATGAGCCTGCTCAATTCTTGAACTCGTCGATGGCTATCCCTGGTGGGCTTCACGGTCCGGTGCATAGTAATGCCGCCCTCCAACAGCAGTTTCAACAACTTCCCTCCGGGAGGCGTTGGCTTCAACGGCGCTCCCCAAATGCGTGTGCCTCACCCCGGAGGAACTCATCAGCTGCACGGACACAATGCCATGCAAGGCCTGATGCACCCTGGAGGTCTTAACCCTGCGCAAGCCCAGCTTCTGGGGTTAAATGGTGCTAACGGTATGCCAAGTGGTCTCCGTGGTCCTAACGGAGGTTTTGGACAACAGGGTCCTCAGATCCAACCTCCTCTGCTCTCCATGAGGCAGCAAGCAGCAACAGCAGCAGCAGCAGCAAATCCCTCCACACATGCTTCCTCTTCATTATCAACAGCAGGGCCCACCTGGCTCAACCAACCAACCTGCCCACGATCTCATGGCGCTCTTGATGAGCGGAGGAAGAAGGGAGTGAGAGTTTTCACGAGCTACTTACGGTCTCTTATCCTCTCCCAATATTTTCGTTCACTCTCGGACTCACCTGATAATTTTCTCTCGTTAGTTTAACAGTTGTGCTCATACTGTCCGTCTATCATGTTTCATTCTGATTCTCTGCAAGCGTATATTATTGACCATTTTGGGCTTGGCTGCATTGAAGACTTCTCCGATGGATGGCTGTTCAATCCGCGTCTGGGACCTGGTGAATCATTGAAGAGTTAGCCACGTCAACCGCTCAACGGACAATATATTAATAGCGGCTCATAATATTGAGTTCTACTACCTGGCCTGGATGTGGTCTGATCCTCTTGAACGTGAGTATTTGAAACGCCACCATCATTACGATGGGCGGAGGACCTGCGACACAAATACTCATGGTTCTCGCGGCGTTCTACATTTGGGCTGCAGAAATGAATGGAAGGAGTACCATGCTCATAGATATACTAACTGCATAAAGAAAGACATATGTACAGTCTAACGTACGTAACTTATGGATCTCTCGATGCTCGCGCCGCACTGGTTCTGAGCTTCTGTAACTGCTGTGCAAGGAGTCCATGGCAAAATGCTTTATGAGGATAATAATTCTTGCGACCAGCGAACATCAATCGTAGATTCCTTGACGGCGTGCACTCCAAACTTTAAACATTTGGAGCTTGTTTGGAGTGTTCCATAATCTATGTCTGAAAATTCCGTCGTAACCACGAGATTAGTGACAGGCGGCGCCGCGCTCTTTACGGCTCTTTTCACAAGTCGGATAGCCGTGGACATAAAACAAGCTGGTGAGAGGTTACACTCTATCTCCGAATCATATAGATCCTCACTGCAAGGTCTTTGAGTGATATCCAACTAGTAATATTCATCCGATGAATACGTATACAAGTATGAAGAGTTAAAAGGGAATATTGCTTCAGACTGTCACGGTCTTGAAACACTTACATATGTCATGTATTTTAGGGTGATAAGGGGTGATGGGTCCTGACTCCTTGCATACCATGATGGCGCTGAGTGTCAATGACAGTCTTCTACTCGGTCCCCCCCCCAATGATGTGGCATTTTCCTAGTGGGCCGCTCAAACTGTTGCTCTAGAAATCACTTGATTCGGATAACATTAGATCATGAAAGGGTCGTCCGATAGGGACGCTGCCACCTTCGATGATCGATTAGGGCGATGGACCTATATGGACCGATGGCATCATTAGACGCTCGATAAGAGGTGACTGATGGGAGGTACGCTGTGGGAGCTTGGAGAGGACACCCTGGTAGCCGAACTCATAAGGTATCTATAGAGGAAATTGTGACAACTAGATGCAACTCGGACAAGAGTCCGATGGGAATCCTTTTGAGGAGAGGTTAAGCCGCAGAGAAGAATGATATCAAAGTTACATAACCTACGCCTGCAGGCAGACAACGTGGACTTGATAACTGCCAAATCAGAACAGACTATGTCTGAACTGAATAATTATTGCCGCGAGAATCACAAGTTTAAGAAATAATAATACATACCTGATTGCTTTGACAAAGGGTTAAGCGGTACACGCCTTCTCTGCATTGCACTCGACAATTACCTCCTTCCGTGATTGAAAATTTGTAGGACTATAGTGTTACACTCATTCCTGCAACTACCCCTCAATCCCGTTCCTCCCCGGCGCAAGCCAGTTTACGAGTACAAAGCCACGTCCGCTCTTGTACCCGTAACACCACACACGCTCGATTAGCTTCGAGCGACTCTTTATAGTCGTTGCTCTGCCTTTACTCTACTAGAATCAAAACAACTCACTCAGTCTTTCCTTTGCCCGGTCTTCCCCTGCCATTCATTCAACAAGTTCCCTGACAGCACTATTTTTTGCCTGAATAATTTGTCCTAATCGCTCCCCCACACCAATTTTCTCTAGCACATTCGTCGGTCACATCTCCCGAGGCCGCTTGTAAGTTATCCGCGCATCCGATACCATCGATTGTGACTGATGTGAAATGCTTCGGTATAGGATAGCCAGCACACCGGTGTCGGTCAACATTGTTCACAAGTACGTACCTTATGGCCCTGACAGCGCAGACCAAGCTAACGGCTGTTGATAGCAAGACCCGGTCAAACAAGTGTATTCGAGGTGAGGCTTATTATTGATTGATGTCATTCTTTTGGTCGCTGTAAAACGTGGGGTCGTGGGAATATGCGCCCGTGCCCGTCCCTTGTTGCGGGGATACTGAGATCTCGCCCGAGGTCGTTCCAGAGCCTGCAGGCCTGAGCGCTCATCTAGGGCCTTTGGGGCAGGGTTGAGGAACATGTATAGTCAGACAGATGCCAAGGAGACTAACTGTCTGATTCCCCTTGCTTGAATATTTCTTGTCGTTGTCGTTGCTGCTATGGTATATTTTTGCATGATTTTGGACCTTTCACAGAAGTTCACATGAAAGTGGTCTTTTTTTTCTCTTTCAATTTCCTTTTTTAATTTCAAACTACTTGACGAGCCGATTCTGCCGTTTGCATCTTATACTCTTTTGAGTGTCCTCACTCTCTTCTTCTTCAATCAACATAGTCTTCTCATCAAGGAGACTTTTTTCTACTCTTCTAAGAGTCTTTTTTTTGTAGTACCTGTCCTCCTCCAACCCTCTCTTGATCTCCCTATCTTTACTCTTTACGACCATCAACGCTGACCACGACTTGTTCATATCCAGTCTACACGCACACGCCACTCTTCACCGCCATCACGACAACCCTTTGTTGTTCGCCCTCGCATGATCAGTTTCTGACTCTGGTGAGTCTGCTCTTCCCAGATCTCGCTTATCTCAAGTGGTATCATGTCGTGAGACCGCGCATTCCAAATGTCATTCCCCAGATGTCGGCATGCTGCGACAGAATGAATGCCTTTCATTGACAATAAACAAACAAACACACGGTGTTCGGCCGTTTTCTAGTTGTTGCCATTTCTCTCCCTTCATACTGTGAGCGCTCGAGGCGCTCGCTCATTTAATCATGTCTTCTCCCGCCTCGTTTGATAACATCATTGCTGATGCAGAGTCTACTCCTCTCTTCGCTCAATTACCCCCCTCAAGCCCACTATCGGTCGTACGCTTTCCTAGATCGATCTCACCCGCCCCTTCTTCAGTTATGAAAGATATTTCTACGACTTCTTACCGGAGTTCTCGAAATGCTGCGTACCCCAAGAAACGGCCATCACCTTCAGGTATATCGAAGCATCACAAGACGCCCCCTCTCGGTCCTCCTGTAACCCGCCGAACCCCTTATTCTGCAAAGGCAGCACTGTTGCAACAGCGACAACGTCAAGCTCAAATCACTGCTCTTCGCAGGCAAGGCATTTTCCTGGAGGAGGAATACCGGGAAGACATTCGTTTCTACATGCATGAGATGGAGGTTTGTGCGACTTCTATTACTAGCTTACTTGCGACCTAATCCTTCTGGTATAGCGATATACCATGTCATCCTCGCAGTCGATGGATCAGCAACCCGAAATCCGATGGCACATGCGCCCATGTCTCGTCGATTTTCTCGTTGAAATTCACTTCACCTTCCGACTCCGACCTGAGACGTTATATCTCACTCTCAATATTGTGGACCGTTACGTCTCTCGGCGAATAGTTTACATCAAGCACTATCAGCTCGTAGGCTGTGCGGCGCTGTGGATTGCTGCCAAGTTCGAGGATGCAAAGGAACGCGTTCCGACGGTCCAAGAGCTTGCACAGATTTGTCGTGACACATATGACGAGTCCGCTTTCATTCAGATGGAAGGCCATGTGCTCCAGACCATTCAGTGGACGCTAGGCCATCCGACTGCAGAAGCATGGCTCAGACTCATGTGCTGCGAGCCATCTGTCGAGGAAGAAAAGGTCCAGCATGTTGCCCGTTTCCTGATGGAAATTACTCTGTTTCACCGAGAGTTCATTAAATATCCTCCCTCCTCGATAGCACTTGGCGCACTCACGCTAGCTCTCTTCCTATGCGGTAAACCACGCCGCATCTTTGAGGAAACGGAGGAATGTTTGGAAATCGTCGATTGTCTCGATAATCGCTTGGCTAAGCATGTCAACGACCTTTCGGAGACGCTGGTAAAAAAGTACTCCTATGCCTTCTACTCCAAGGCGGCAACATTCGTTGTACAGTACTACCTCCAGGGTGGGCGGTTCGTCCGGCAGTCCTTCATTACTCTTCCGATGACGCCCACTCGCCCATCAATGTCTGGTGCCAGCACGCCTATGAGTGCCACGACATCCATCTCTGATTTATCTGATGATTTCCCTCTGACTCCAACGAGTCCCTCATCGTTCTCCCCCGAACCCTTCTCGAACTCCTTCCTATCAGAAGACGATAAGGAAAATTTACCAACAACGTTTGAGCCTGTCATCAATAAACAGCGCACGGAGGTCCCACCCGACCATTTTCTGCCTCACGACTTCGTTGCTTTTGGCCGTCCAGCCTTGCACCACTTGAATGGCTCACCACGAATGACCGCCGTTTCATAACGTGCAGGTCCGTACGTCAATTCCATCCGTGTCGAAAAGACTGTTTCAACCCCCGCAAAATGTAATACCACACTACACGCTCAGCCACTCTGTGCATTGTCTCTGCAAGTCTCATCATCCATGCATCACTTTCTTTTTCTGCAATCGTCTCGTTTCCCATCATCCATCCCGCGCACAATCTACTGTAGGGTGAGCGGTTACCCTGAGAAGTCGGATTCGCACCAGCGGGCCGATACTCGATACAAGAACGGGACGGGTGACATAGCTGTCCTGTACCACTCTCCTTTCCGCTTGTCATCCTTCTCAAGGAAGGTCTGCCTTGCCATATCTGGTCGTCCTGCCAAACCACAACATTATCTGCATCATTCCGCTTGTCAGTCTATGCATCACCCCACCCATCGATCCCGCCCATCGTAACTCCCTCGACTCCCGTCTTCTTGCAACGAACCAGGTCGACAGCCCCTGTCCCATTCTGTGTCTATCGCATTCGTTCTATATTATTCTTCACTTTATCGTATTCTTTAAATTCCGTGTCAACTATCTGGTTCGTTGTGGGGCGATTTCTTGCATTCTCTGTCCCGTACCCCCATCGTGCGAACCGCATCTTTGTGCTTTTACTCTCCCTTTCATTTGCACACTGTCCGCGCATCCATCCTCGTCATTGTTGCAGCAATCACTCTACCGCATCGAACTTGTCTACAATTACATTTGCAATCTGAAGGGCTCAACGGGTGTTTCCATTATACTGGTAGCGCGCTCATTTTTAGCGAGAATGGAATCGGTGCTAGATTCTCTCCGGCGGGACGTCCATCAGAACAGGGGTGGAGT